ACATATGTACAACTTCTTGGAGGCTCTTTCAGTCCGATATGAAATATCAACATGAACAGGAGACCAGTGCCAACCACAATAAATGCAACATACTGGAACATAATATGTCATAAATTGAAGACTTATGAGTCCTTTACAATCAAAAGATTAAATTCATCACTAACTTAAGGTACCCAACTCTTTCACTGATGACAAAAAAAAAATGCATTCTTAATCTTGAACAATCAATTCTTGATCCTTGACACACAATAAGAATTGAGAATCAGCTGTTTAGAACTCAACTGTCAACACCTAATCAATTAATGATTCTCATCCTTGCTAGCTGGTAACCCTTTTTCTGTTATCAAAATTAGTTAGTTAAATAATGGTGAGATTGGTTTAGAATTATGTTATAAAGGGAAAATATCACCAATGAGCAGCCAATCAGTGCTTCTGTTTTCATATGTTGTTTACTGCATGATATACTTCAATTGCAAAGAGAAGTTATTTGTAATGTTAATCTCATCTATGAGATCTAGGGCTGGGCTTGCTATCACCTCAGATATCTGGGTATAGTATGTACCACACGGATGAAAGGTGCTTTTCTTTGATTGGCTAATTCAGAAGTGATTAGCAAGTATTGCTCACCTTCAAGAAGCAGAAGAGAAAAGATCATGGGAAGAGTTTCATTTCTGACCATATTTCAGTATATTTACACTTCGGTGGATATTTATTCACTAAACACTACCACAATACACCAAAACTTATTGTTGGCTGCAAAGACTTAGGAATTACAAAAATTATTCACTGACCATAAAAGCTGTTGAGTCAGAAGGAGAAAGCTTGACTGTGCCATTTCCTTCTGTACTTATAAGAACCCATGTCACCAAAAAGACAAAAATGTTTGATGAAACTGTACAAGCATATCTGGGGAAGAAAAAAAAACAAGAAGGTTTGAACCAACTAATTAAATTGCTGATCCTTTACATGTAACAACTGAAAAGGTAATGAAATCCTATCTTTACTTGAAAAAATATAAAATTCAAACTCTGGCTGGGACATTGATTATTAAATCAATTTTCAGTGATAAAAAAAAAAGTGTTTCAAAAGATAACTAAGGCTAACACTAATCATAGAACTTGCATAAACTGTTACAAAATTCTGTGTTCATATATTTGCATAAGCTTAATATATTAACTGGAATGAAAAATCTATGGTAATATTCTACATGAATTCTAGATAAATCAGTTCCCTTAATATTGAAATTTGATATGCAACAGAAAAAAATAAAACAGATGAGACAAACATTTGTGTCTTAGAAAAAGCACATTCTAATTCACGTCACATTTCCAAGATGGATTCAATCTGGTATTTATCAAGCGGCATCATCCTGAATTTAAATTCACTTAAAATTCTCACATCTAGTATGTTTTGATTAATAAAAATTTTTTATGTTTTGATTGTAGAGGCCTCCATGAGTAGAGTTAACCTTTAACCCTTTAACTCCCAGAAGTGATTAACATAAAACTTCTCCCTACAATATCCATACATTCTTCAGCAAACAGGTAATGAGAACATTCAAACTTATCAGGTAGAAGCTGCTATCTTGATCTAGCACCAAGTTCTCATAACTAATTTACAAGGAAATGTAAGGAAACAGGCAAGAATTAACAATCAGATCAGATCAGGGCCCTTGATTCATGCCTCCAGTGGCATTCCCCACTTCCACACCATTTATTACACTTATTCATCTTTTTGAGACTAAATCCAAAGATGCGCTTAGAAATTTCTGTGTTAGCATGCATGTGCTCCCTTCTTTAGATCAATGCTGTACCTGCATAGTTGCGTTTGACTCGAACTACAAGTATGGCTAAAGGCCAAACTATTTTTCCAGGCACATTCTCTGCATAAGTCTATATATGTGCTTCCTTCCACAGACCTCAATAGTTATGCTATATAATCACTTCCTGATCTATTGAAAGGACAAGTACTTTTCTTGAAATTTCATCCATACCAATGAGGGTAAAAATTTCTTCTAAACTTTAAATATATTAAAGTTCACGCGGCAACCAGGTGGACAATCAGACATGGCATATTAACTCTGCCCACATTCCTTTAAATTGTGACAATGGTGGCTTGCTTCCTGACACCTATTTACACCTCGTCAGGAAAAAGGCAGCTAATTAGTGATCCTTTAAAAGGACCTCTTGTTGCAGCATTTAGATCACCCCTGATGAAGGCACTAGACAGGAGTGTTGAAACGTTGGGTCTATGAATTATAACTTCTTCTATTACATTCATTAAATCTGTAAACCAGAGTAGCATCAAACCATGTCTCCTTCTAAATTTCTTGGTTCCAGTTGATGCTGACTTACTGTTAGAATTAAGGCAAAAAATTTTTTGCCATAGAATTGTGTATACTTGTATCCTACTTCTAGCCTACAATGTACCTGGTGATTTCCTGGTCGACTAGTGGCTGTTATAAAATAGGCGGCCTTACTACTGTTGTTACAAGTAGACCTCTATGTTGTGAAATCACGTCACGTTCCACGATACAAAAGTAACTGAGAGTTGAGATAGTAAAAAATAAAAAAGAAAAGAGACAAAAACAGAAAAGGCTGCTTTGCATTTAAAAGTACCATTTAGAAGTACGCTGTGCATTAGTTTAAGTATAATTATGGATGTTTTCTCACGCATCCACGGGCAACGTTACGTAAACTTAAACTTACCTGATGGCATTTAAGGTAACTTTCTCGTTTTCGCAATCCGTCAGTTCTGGAATCAAGCTTAAATGAGAAATTTGCGTTGATGCCCAGCCGAACTGGAAAATCACAATAAAGGGAACATAGTACACGAACAAGGCCCAAGTTGATGCGTCTTCACAACCAATGCAGAGGTTGAAAATGAATGGAAAGGAACAAGCAACGCACACAACTCCAACGAGATGCCAGACTTTTCTGCGACCGTATTTACAATCTTTGGTTTTATCGGATTCCACACCAACAAACGGCGTTGAAAGAGCATCAGCGACTTGACCGATCAACAGCAAAGTTCCCGAAGCCAAATTTGAAAATTGAGCAACCTTATGAAGGTAAAGCAGAAGATATGTAAACCACATTGAAGCGCAAAGGTCATTAAGAATATGACCGACTCCGTAGCAAATTCTAGTTCTCCAGGTCATTTTCATCTTTCCTTCGATACATTGGGCCATGCTAAAGTCTTCTTTCAGTTGATGAGGAACGACTACACGATGAAGATTACTTGTACTTGCGATCCTTTAGAAATCGACTTCCCGTCACGAAAATTTTGTCGTCGGTTAAGGATAACTTATCTGTCTGCTGACTCAATTAAAACACACAATCTTGATTTAAGATCATAAGTTAAGCCAGCCACGCTAAGTTAAGTTCGACACTTAACACTGATTTTCTTACTACTCTACTTTACCGGCTGATAATATTTATAGACATCATAAGAAAGTCACGTGCTTTGTCATATGATAAACAAAAAATCTCTACCCCGCTGGGGGGTGGGAAGAGTTTTTGTGGATAGAGGTGCGCGTTCTCAACCATATTATCGAGTTTTGCAAAAAATTGACCAGTACAACAGTTGAGTAGACTCTACTTAGCTATTTATGTGTCGATTTGCATTTTAGGAAATACGAAATACAGCTAATTAAGAGAAAAACCTGGCTGCCTGTGGTTATCTTTTTTTGTAAAGTACAATTCCGTTAGGTCATGCAATCCACGTAGTGCATTAGGTCACAGACAAATTATTGTTCTTTCCTGTTTTCCACTCTCAAAATGATTAAAATATCAATCATGCGATAATCACGAGGCTCCAATAAATCCTTTTCCCTTTGATGGTAATGCAAGTTTGGCAAACAACAATAAGAATCTCTCATCACACCACGCACAGAAATCAACCCATTTTTCAATTGACGTCACTCACTCGCCTGACATAAGTTAAATTTTGGAACCCTACTTTGAGGACGATCATGCCACCTTGTTCAGTGTTTTCCCGAGATTTCAGTGTTTTTTGAAGCCAGCCATCAAAAGCAGGAGCCAGCAAAGATAACATTTTTTTTTCAATTAAGACAGGTATTAAACTGTTTTGTCTCTTTTTAAAAGCGGCAAGCGCTTCAGAAGCAAGAAGCCGGCGACAGCGCTGGTCACTGGGGCTTCCGGAGAACACTATGTCCCCTGTTGCTGTTGGGAAATCAACGTATCTCGTCACTAAAAGTTTGCTTAATAATGATGTCTGTATTGTATACAACTTTTAACGAACCTTTTAGAAAGGGAATTAGACAGAAGACATGAACTGGTCGAACATTACTGGCTTATTGTTCCTTGCATTTTAGTTGTTAGAACGCATGATACAGTCCCGCATGGTAGTAAGGTTTATGCGCTACTGGACCTTCTAGCGTATCATGAGCATGCCACGCTATCTAGTCTCCCTCGCAGCCGTTCTTTGGGCTGTCTTACTAAAAGGCCTCTTTCTGCAAGAGAGTTGCGTGACATACTAACAGCTATGATGCCAGCAGGCTCTTATTGGCCCTAACGCACGAGAATCTCGCGGGCTTCTCGCGAGATTCGTGAGGGTTAAGTTGACCTCACTTTCCTCGCGAGTTTCGCGGGAAACTTACGAGATGCTACTGAAGCAATGAAAACAAGAGCTTGCTCGCCGGTTATTATGGAAACTCCATGAACTGTATTTGGAGGGACAAGGAAATCGAGGAAAGGTATATCAGTTCCTCTACTAACGAATGTTACTAGAAGGAATTGTTCTCAGAAGTATAGCATGAGTCTTTGTGGGTTCCTTTTACATAGCACAGTGTGGGAAAAAGGAAAATAAGCAGAACTTCGATTAAAAGAGCAAGCTTTAACCCTTTACACCGAAACACTAGTATGCATGTTCTCCATAGTGTTTTCTATACATTTCCTTAGGGGTTCACAAGGAGAATTTGTTTAACGATCAAGACCTTCCTGAGTTGGTGATCATTTCCTTTATTCTTGTGACCCTCGTGTGCGATTCAGGGGCGATATTGTAGGGAGAAGTTAGATGCTGGTCACTCTTATGGGACAAAGGGTTAATAGAGTTGAAAACTGTAACATTTTAACTCTGTGTAGACGGAAATTTCCTTAAGCTTGATCTTCTGGTATTACATCATAGCTCCATAGAACCATAAAAAGCTAGAGACTCTGAGGCATCCTCAGTTGCCTCTCTCCTTAGAACCAATTGAGCTGGAGATTCATATGAAGCAAAAAATGGACCCTTTGATGAGCAGACTAAAGACCACGAACCAGATTGTAACCATGTATTGGATGTGGCTCCATGTGTTTCTAGGATACAAGAGAAAATCACGCATGTAAGCGAGAAAATAAAACGGCTGTCAAAAATCACTATCGAGAACGATAAGGCCTCTTTCGACTCATACTCCGTATCGACGACTCAGCTGTCGAAGAGATGAAACAAGTATTCTGTATAGAATCAACCTCTAGGCTTCATAGAGAAAAGACAGAGTAAGGATGAGCATTACAGCTGTAGCCCTGAAATCGTCTGATTTTAAAAGTTGCTATGCATGGAGAAACGGGTCAATTGTAAACTTAAAACAATTAAGGAGCACGGTTCCAAGGCTCGACAGCAGGTGAAACCTTTTTTTTTTTTTTAGGATACAACAGTTTCAAAAGGCAAAGAACATTTTAATCGTCAGTAATAAATAGTAGAAATGCTACTGTCTGTCCAAATTCCGCGCAGGAATTCTCTCTCAGCTGTTGCAATTGGCATTTACGTCTTCGTAGTTTTCAGTGCAAATGGGATTTTATAGTAAGCACCTAGCTTTATATGATTCATACCAATACCAGTCAATCTAACGTGGTGGTGGTATGTGTCTCGTGTACGACCGAGCCCAACACATCACAACTAAAGCGTCTGTCATATCGCTAGAAAAGAAATATCCGGGGAGTATTCCTCGTTATTTCAGAAGATCTACTGACTACTCATCTCGCGATCAACAATTGATAGTGACAATAAATCGTGAGACAACGAATTAAACGTTGATTCGTCTGAATAACCATGATGAATAACGGTCATGTATTCATATAACAGCTAAACAATTGCGAATATCAAAACACCAATCACAAAAACGATTTCTTAGTCGCACACTGAGACAGATTCATTCGAGCACTTACTTACGTAAAGCGTGCTTTTATCATTTTCTTTCGCAAACGATCCTGTAAACTTTGTATATTAAGCGTGCCAAAGCCAGTTTACTTTTCTTGGGATACAGTTCCGAAATTAGCCTGTCCGCAGAAAATTGAGTTGCTATATTTTCCCTTGATCTTTGTCTAGAGCGCGAGCGAAATAAAATTCCCGAGGGATTTGACAAACACGGTCACATCCGTTGCGCTTCAAACAGTCGTGGGCAGACTATCCCAAAACGGTGGAAAAGGTTTCATCCTTTTCATACCTTGGTTAGCTTTATCTAAGTTCTTTTTTTCCGGCGTGGCGAGAGCCAAAAGAGCGATAACCGCTGCCACTCCCGAAGCGAATACCATGACCTCTCTGTAATACAGACCGCCAGCACTGGACCTGCGAGTTAATGAGCAATATGAATTAAAACATAATGCACAAATTTTAGACGGTTGCTGTTATAGTTATTGCAAAAAAAGAAAAATAAATAATCACTAATCTCAGTCACGAATGCCTTTTTGTGTCGCTCTTAACGGTTAAAACAAATCGGCGTGGGATGGAAAAAAAGGAGTGAAATTTTGTTACGAAACTGGTGGGCGGCCTGGTCGATCAGCAAGTCATAACCTAACAGCTTTCTAAGCCAATGTTTTGAATATTTGAGGACATATCCCAAAAGATTAGCCTCTTTTTAGAATATAAAAACACAGTCGGTGTCATAACTTCACGTGCACTTTTATTGGCGGTGAAAAGAAATATTTGATTCCGGAGCAAGCTTTGCCTTCCAGAGAGCAACTTACCCTTTATCAGTATTTTTGGGATAAAGCAATTGAATGATCTGTATAATGACGCCATTAGACATCTTGTCTAAAAAGCTCATCGCTCCATATACAAAAGCTCCAGTTTCCTGCAAAACACACACAAAAAAAGGAATCGTTATAATTTCGCATTGGTGATCCGAGAAACGACGGAGAGGTTAACGGAAGAAGATAAAAGCAACAAATAGTATCATCACGGTAAGAGATTACACTTTGGAATTGTAACGTATGATGCCGGACAATAACGTGGAAGCAATAGAAAATAAATTCCCATTAATTCCTCGACGGAAGCTGCTTCATAAACAGTCAAAGTCTCCAGCCGTATTTAAGCTCCCTAAAAAGCGGATACATACGCTCAGCTTAGGGCGGAAGTCGAGTCCAGGATATTCCTTGAAAAAGATTACAAATTTCCATAATTACCGTTACTCCTCAAATTTCCAACAATGGAAAGCATCTTTATTAACACTAAACTTTAAATCATTGGTTCTTACAACGCTGTTTCCAATCAGATCGGCCAACATTGTTAAGACAGTCACCAGCAGTGTCGAACCTCCATATCCTAGCGCTACACTAGCAAAGTACATCTGTTTGCTGTGTGGAGGAATAAGCCAAAGCCAAATACTGAAAAGAAAAAAAATGAGAAACAGCTTTAAGTTGTAAGCAAAGGAAATCAATTGGACTCATTACTTTACCAACGACGAGAATTAACAGCTACTTCACAAAATGCATTAAGAACCCTCGCATACGTTTTTATCACAAGCGCGTTTCAATACGCCGCTGTACCCTTAGACAATCAATCGCATCCTTTGTTAGGTGCGTAGAACAGCTATAAGTAGTTTACTGTTAGGTGACGTTTAGATATCCAAACGTGTCAGGAGTATCAAGATAGCGCTGCTGTAATTAGATCCCTCGTTTTTGCGTTGTTTGTGGAAGGGTAACCCAGGTCCACATTACATTGTAGAAAAAACCAACGATCAGATAATCAAACAATAAGCTGTAGGACTTTTACAGTGAACAACTGCCTTCGATCACCAGCTCTTTATATACTTTCGGGAGGTTTATTCGTGCCAACAAGCTAAAGAGAAGCCATATTTCTCTTTTGAAGTGTCATTTACCACGATGAATAACTCACACCCTATTTTACGACTTAACTTACCTTGTTCCAAGTATCATGAAAAGGCCGCCAAGGAAAACTGTCTATACGGAAAAGTAAAAAAATACCAATAGCTAGTAATAAATGCCTTTATGTAAGAAAATTACAACAAGTGATATCTAGCCGATGAATAAGAATGTTTGTCAGTCGATTCCAGTGTTAGTTTCAGCCTGATTTTCATTTCTCAGGTCTAGCTCGTGGAAACGTTCGGTCTGTAAATAGAATGGGCTCGTTCTGAAAATTAATAGAACTGTTTCGTGATCCTTCAAGTATGGCCAGTCACTTTTCCAGCTCCTGTGCGAAAGACTTCCGACATACGCATGAGTTCTTCTTGCCAAATATGACAGGTGACAGCAGAATCATTTAAAATCCATTTGGCATTGGATACACGTGAGAGAGAACAACTGACATACTCTTAGCTACAAAACAGGGAGTGGTGTCTCGCTATCCACTTACATCACCACGATGTCGAACCATGCAGCTTTTCTTAATCCGTCCGGGGACCGAAATGAATAGCTCCCCAAGATCTGACAAATTTAAAACATACACTGACCTTTCTACCGAGGCACTTGTTCAACGGTTTGGTAAAAAGTGTAGATACCAGTCCACTCAGGTACACAACCAACGGCATGATAGCAATAGTTCGCTGGTGGAAAAATGAACGCAAATGGAAGTCTGAGCTGAATTCGTTTACAACATGACTGAACGAGTTGGATGAAACGTTCTGTTTCCGGGTCTCCTGTAAGTAAGGAGACGACCTCAAACTTACAAGTTTTACTTTCGCCACTCTGGCTTTACTAAACAAAAAGACCTGGAAAAGGTTAACCTCATTTGCAGCCGTTCTTTTGGATGTTGAGGAATGATATCTCTATTTGTTAGAGTTAGACGTTGGAAGGCAGCTTCGCTGAAAATCTCAGTGACTCACTAAGCGATCTAGTGGAAAATTCTCGCTCGCTGACCCAAACAGAGAGGTGCCAGCAACAGAAAGTTAACCATTAAGGGCTGTTTCAATGGTCGCCCATATGAGCCTAGCTGTTTATGATAACCAAAAAGACTCGAACCCACCTTGGATAAATCGAGTGTCTCTAAGGTGTACATCGGGATATAGCACTGTGTGACATTGATGATAACTCGGACACACATGTACAACACTCCAACCTAAAAAAACATTCTTTCCTTGGTCACAAGCATTGTGTTGGAACGCGGCGCGGGAACTAAGACTGAGAATAAGGCGCGCTGGAGAGACGCTAAAGGTGCGAGATATAACGAGGCATGTAAACTTCTTAAATCAAAACAAAACGAGTTTTTGTACTAGAGCTGAGATTTTACAGAGCAATGAGAACTACGCAGAATGAAAAAACAATCGACTGCTTTCTGTATGAACAATTAAGTAAGCTCCATTATTTTTCTGTCGTGCATTGAGAGCCAATTTCCCTAAGTTCAAAGAGTGATAGGTGCAAGTAAAAAGTCAATAAATCAGTGAGGCTATGGCATCAGTATGCCCTGATGAACTGTCACTCTCACCTGTAACTTCCTGGCTCTCCGTCAGTGGAGACGAGCGAAAGAGTGGGCCAGCCTTCTCAGTAACACATGGCGGTTGCGGTTGTGTGGGAAACGACCGCCTGCCCCCCCCCCCCCCCCCCCCCCCCCCCCGCTACTTTTTGCTGCGCGCCCTCTGTTTCGTTCGCCTCTTCTAACCACCTTCTAGCACAGGTTACCTCACCTTATAAAACAGAGGCTCTCGAAACCAAGCTCTCCAGTTAGCAGCCGACCGTTTGCTGGACTGGGTTGCGAATTCAACGCTACAGTCACGTGAAGGTTCTTTCACTCCGAGATGAAAGACAACCGTGAAGAAAACTCCTGTGCCGACAACTATGAACACCACGTACTGAAAAAGGCATAAAACATATTAGAAAAATACTTAACGAACGCCTGAGTGAAAAGCATGTCAACACCTTTTTTAAACTTCAAAAGTAAATGGACTCTATCTAGTACAAGTTTTACAAATGCATACTTAAAAAGGGCGACAACGGCGACGATTTGCAGATTAGTCACAAGATATCGATCGATACCAGATTAACTTAGAAGTACGAACAACACTAAACCTAAATTTGAGGGATTGCTGGCCCAAATAGAATGTGTGGGACAGCTGAGGAATTGATGGCATTTTTTTAAGTTTTGGAAACCGCACAGTGGTCTAATGGTCAGCGCCGCGAGCCTCGGGCTGGAAGCGTGAATGGTATCGTTTGTGATAAGTTCTTGGGCCAGGCAGAACTTCTTTCCCCTCAAGGGTGTAAATGAGTACCACAAGGTTGTCAGGGACACCCGAAAAAATATTATTGGGGGGGGGGGGACGGGCACAAACGGCGTTCAGACGTCTCATTGTCAAGAAAACATCAAAGCAAGACATAGTTTGAAGCTGCACTGGTTTGCAGATTTAATGAATGTAACCGAAGAAGTTACAATTCATAGACCCAACGTTTCGACACTCCTGTCTAGTGCCTTCATCAGGGGTGATGAAGGCACTAGACAGGAGTGTCGAAACGTTGGGTCTATGAATTGTAACTTCTTCGGTTACATTCATTAAATCTGCAAACCAGTGTAGCTTCAAACTATGTCTGATTGTCCACCTGGTTGCCGTGTGAACTTTAATATATCAAAGCAAGAGTTTGCTACGGACATCACAAAACTGTTCCGGGAAAAGACTGAAGACAAAGAAAAAACACACGAATCGAAAGGGTTCATAAATGCTTTCACAACTCCTTTGTCTTACAGGCCCCTAAGCATAAATTGAAGAAGACCGCTTTGAAAGTTTTCTGGGATAATTTACCGTGAAAGCAGTTGCATCTCCTGTCCCCAGCTGGTTTGAATCGCTGTTGACGTCACTTGTCTCCAAGAAAACCCAGGTGATAACAAAGACAAATATGTTGCATGAGCCGGTGGCTGCATATCTGTAGAAGAAACAATCGTATAACTATCATTCCTTGAACACTGCGAAAAAATAATTGCTTTAAAAGACAGCCATTTGGTTTACAACTTGACCGGCTTAAGCCTCCACATTCTTTAACAACATCCTCTCCACTCTCATCCCATATTTTCCAATGGCTCATTAGAAGAACCTACAGCCTTCGGATGATCTGATGTCACTGATTATCGGAAACGACAGGTTTATTGGTTATTTTCTGTATGCTAATGAAAGAACCATTCGTGTGTCACTGGATAATCAGAAAGCGACAAATGTTTATCTAGGAGCGTGTTTGTTTGCGCATTTGGCCGAATGACTGCCACAAAAGTAAACTAACGGGTGAGTGAACAACGCACTGGAACTCTTTTCAAAATCCAAAAGCCTTTGCAGAAAAGCAGTTTTTTTGTTTGTAGAATACCGTTTGAAAGCGAAGTCGAGAGTCAAGAAGCCTGCGAGCACGCCCTGTCCCAAATTTAATTCTCTATGTCTCGGTAGTATGGCGTTCTCTTTTTCTATTTGCTAGTCCCCATTAGGAAACAGAAACGTGTTATCGCAGGTTACTGTATGCTGAGTCGTCAGAGAGTCGGTAAATAAATAGTTTTCTTGCAAATCCCTACGTGTTCAGAAACAGGAATTAGACGCACGTTACCATTCTTTGATAATTGCTAAAACGGGGAAAATGCCTTTAGAAACTGTGGTCCTGCGTTAGTGGGAAGTGTTATAATATAATTGGTTTTATCAGCTGAATCGGCCATCGGAAAGAGTTTCTAAGCCGACGTTTCGAGCGTCAGTACTTCGTCGGAGCGAAGGATGACGCCTTCGTCAGGGCGAAGGACGCTCTGACGAAGGGCTAACGCTCGAAACGTTTGCTTAGGAATTCTTTCCTGTGGCCATTAACATATCATCAACTCAGTTGATAAAATCAAGTTGCTTGTTATGGCTTATACATTTCGTCGCGCGACTGAACCCATGATCAGTGAAAGAAACAGGAAACTAAAAGAAGAAGAAAAAAATAAAATTCAGGGTTTCCATAATTTTTTTCCGTGTTGTGATAGGCGGCTGTGCTGTAAGACGAAACCTAGGCGACGTGCCGGGACAAAACTTTTACAAGTGATCCTAATCCTACACGCACGCTGAACAGA